ACGTGGGGATAAGGACATATATGTAATATCTTAATCAATAAAAAATATATTTAAAAAAAGAAGAAATAGAAACTCAGAGAGGTGATAATGGCCCAGGGCCATGGTAACTGGCAGACCTAAGGCTCCATTCACAATAAGGTCTTTCCTTCTCTTCTTGGCTGCCCATTTAAGCCAGTTTCAAAGTGCAAAGAGTGGAGGTAGCAAATTCATGAGGCATCTCCACTTATGAGTGTGGAAACCAGGATCTCTATAGGGGGTGCTGGCTGCTTCTCTCACAACAGTGATGCAGGCCAGCCCTTGGCAAGATTCCCTCCCCAGAGTCAGCTTCAACGTGGGCCAGCTGGCAGGCAGCCAAGCTCGTGGAACGCACCCACTTGGAGCCAAGAGCCCTGTGAAGGGCACTGCAGGGACATGGGGTCCAACAAGCTCAGGCTTCTGCCCCAGAGAAGACAAGGGGCAATGGAGGCAGATTGAAGAGCAGGCAAGGCCAATGGCTGTAGAATTGAGGCTGGAGCAGGATGGCAGTTTGAAGCGCTGGTTGAAGGAGGGAAGTGACAAGCTGGGCTGTGGCAGGAGTGGGTGGGAGGGCAGTCAGGCTCTTAAGAAAACAAACAGCACATGTGGTCTGAAGTGTTTATCTCTCAAGCAGATTCCTAAGTATATCAAATCTTTTGTTGCTAAAGTGTTCTGAGATGCGTGTTAAAACAACCTTCACCCCCTAAGATCTACTTTTTAAGTCTAACATCCCCTGTAGTTATCAACTGCATGTACAGCCTCTAGAGGTTAGTATGCTAAGCTGACCAACATGTATGCTAAGCTGACCAACATGATGGTTGTAACTATCCATAGGGTTTGTCTCCAAAGAAAAGAATTGTTTAGCATAGCAGAAATATAAGCTATCTAGGCATGTTGTAAAGCCATTTCAAAGTAACTCAAAGCAAATTTTGTGAATATTAGTGTAGTGCTCTAGTCACATTCTATTCTGCTTTAAAAGGTTATGGCAGCCCTAGCTGGTTTGGCTCAATGGATAGAGCATCAGTCTGCAGACTGAGGGGTCCCAGGTTCAATTCTGGCCAAGGGCACATGCTGGGTTGCAGGCTCAATACCCAGTAGGGGGCACGCAGGAAGCAGTCAATCAGTGATTCTCATCATTGATATTTCTATCTCTCTCTCCCTCTCCCTTCCTCTCTAAAATCAATACATTATATTTTTTTTAAAAAAAAGGTTATGGCAAATACAGACAAATTAAAAAAAACAAAAAACAGCACATGAACTCTCCTTAGTGACAGTACACTGATCAGAGAAATATCACTTGCAGGCCTGGAAATGGCCAGGGAGGCATAACAGTGATTCTTGCTGCAGCCTCTTCCTCACTCCAGAGCTGAGGCTGCAGGGCAAGGTAGGTAGACTTTTGCCATGTGACAAATAGACATAGCATTCTGTGCTTAGTCACCAAAGTCAAGACCAGGAGCTCGGAAGTCCCATTCCCAGTGGAACTGAGTGACCCAGATGCTAAAAGGACGGGCAGAGGATGGGCTGGGCCAGCAGGTGCCACGTGGGGCACTTGCCACAGCCTATCAGGCAGGTGACAAGGGGAGCAAGGAGGCTGAGTGGCTCCATTTGCAGGAGGGGAGGGCCAGATACTGCTCTCTGAATGTCCGCTAAAGAAAACAAGCTCCAGGAAGAGGACAAAGAAGCCCAAGGTCAGCCAGGGATCACAAAACAATACCAAATCCAGCTCTGATTCACTGAGGCTTGCCATTTGCCAGGCATTGTGCTATGTGATGTCTTTAGAAGCGCTACTTCAATCCTTAGGACACTACTGGGAGGCAGATGTAATTAATATGACCCCCCACTATAGAGATGAGGAAGCTGAAGCACAGAGCAGTGCAGTGCCTTACAAAGGTCACATACTTAACTCTCCAAGGTGGGATTCAAACCAGGTCTTTCTGATTCCAAAGCCCATTCTTTTTTCTTTCTTTTTTAATTGTATTGATTTCAAAGAGGAAAGGAGAGGGAGAGAGAAATAGAAACATCAATGATGAGAGAGAATCATCAGTGGGCTGCCTCCTGCACGCGCCCTACTAAGGATCGAGCCCGCAACCTGGGCATGTGTCCTGATGGGAATCGAACTGTGAAGTCCTGATTCATAGGTCAACACTCAACCACTGAGCCATGCCAGCTGGGCGAGCACCTCTATCTTGAACCCAATGGCCTCCTTAACATCACCACCTGGATGCCACATCATATTTAGCAGGCTCAACACCAAATCCCTGATGCCTTCCCCCAAAATCTGTTCCATCCACAATCTTCCTTGTATCAGAAATGGTGACTTCATGCTTTCAGTCACTCAAGCCAAAACCTTGGTGTCATCTTGCACTCCACATCCAATTCATCAGCAAATTCTGTCAGCTCTATCTTCACCATATATCCAGAACCCAGCCACTTCTCACTTCTTGGTAAAACGTAAGCAGATCATGTCACTTCTCTGCTCGAAACTGCACAACGGCTCCATCTTACTCAAAGCCAAAGTCCAAGTCTTCATCTCCAACTCTTCGCTCGCACTCACCTGCTGTGGGAATCAGATGACCGCCTTGCTATTCCTCCAATATGGCAGCCAAGCTCCTGGCCTGGATGCTATTTTCCCAGGTATCTGGTTGGCCTGTTGGCTCACCTCCTTCAGATCTTCTTGGTGAGACCTATAGGGGTTCAGAACAGGCCTCCTCAAGATATGCCACTTTGGCATTTGAATTGTTTTTGAGTGAAGGCAACCAAGACCCCATGGACTTGCCCATAATAAGAGTTATTAGCAGAGATAACTTTTTTATGACCTATCTATAGGGCAGGGCAGACTTCTCATTACTGAACATATGCTCATTCTGAACCCCTTCTGTTGTGTTGTGTATCAGTTTCATATGATTTCAATCTACTTGTTTATTGTCGTAAGTGTTTCCCTCCACGTCCTGCGTGGTTCAGGGTTTGGGTCTGGAAGAGGAGCCGCACAACAAATGAAAAAGAAAAGACACTAGATAATTTGGGAATATTGGGGGACCAGGCGGCAAGTCCAACTCAAGAGGAAGGACTTCCACTGTGCTCAGGCCTCACCAAGCTTTTTATAGTGAGCGGTAAACAAGGTAGTAGTTACCAAAGTTACACTTTTCTTGTGAGTTTCACTTGTTTACACCATGGTTATACTTCCTGCACTTCCTCAGCCCCTTAGCTTCCCAGATAAGATCTAGGGAGTGTTATAAGGTCAAGCCTAATTATGCTAAGAGGACTGTGCCCTCTAAGCTAGGACTTGTTTGTGACTTTGCTAGCAGGTCAGTCCAAGGCTTAACCCTATATCAGTTTCCCACAGTTTATGACAAAAATTGAAGTTGTTTTTAAGAGTGAAGTTGCCCTCGCCTGTTTGGCTCAGTAGAAAGAGCATCAGCCTGCGGACTGAAGGGTCTCAGGTTCGATTCTGGTCAAGGGCATTAAAAAAAGGAAAAAAAGTGAAGTTGTTTTGCTCTAAGAATGAAGTTGTCATTATAAGTTATTTAAATTTTTATTTTTCAATTACAGTTGACATACAATAGTATATTAGTTTCAGATGTACAGCATAGTGATTAGACATTTATATACCTTACGAAGGTAAAATTGTTTCACTCTGAATGAGGTAAGCTGTGTCAGGATGTCATCTCATCTGTTGTCACTAATAAGCACCCAGTAGCTCAGCTGCTGAGAGGCACCACTGGGGCTTATGGAAAAAAACATGTGAAGAAACACGGCAGGGAAACATTTAGACGATCAATACCAAGAGTTTGTCAAGACTATCTGAGAATGTTTGGTCTGGTCAAGGCTACCCTTTGCTGATCTAAATCTCCCCAAAGACTTTTGGGGCATTAGCTCCTGCCATGGTAACAGCGACTCTGTTACCAGCAGCATCAAAAGCCACACGGCTGCCCTGCAAAGGAGAACAGCTCACCCATCAACAAGGCACCATCACTCCCTAGCAATGTGCTCTGGCAACGAGAAACTTTTACTTTTGCGCTGGCAGCTGAACTTCAGCTCTCAATTAGCTAAGCCATCTCTCACAAGTACCAACTCCTATAAAGGTCCACCTCAACTAAATTTGGACTTTATTCCTTTCATCTCTGCTTAACTAAAACAATAGTGGGGTTAATCTATCATCGGTTTGGGTTATGTTATCTCTTATGTTTTTTATTTATTTTAGAGAGAGAAGAAGGGAGAGGGAGAGAGCAATAGAAACACTGACCAGAGAGAAAGAACAACTTCCATTGGCTGCCTCCTGCACGCCCCACCCCCCTCCCCCCGGCTGGGGGTCAAGCCCAAAACCCAGGCATATGCCCTGACCAGGAATCAAACCAATTACCTCTTGATGTATGGGTAGACGCTCAACCACTGAGCCACACTGGGAAGGCTGTTATTTCTTTATTGGCTTATTAAGAGACATTGTCCTGTATGCTATTGGCTTATTAAATTATTATAATTCCTAAACTAGCTGGTTTGGCTCAGTGGATAGAGCATCAGCCTGCAGACTGAAGGGTCCCAGATTTGATTCCGATCAAGGGCACATGCCTGGGTTGAACATCCAGATAAAAATGTAGTTTTGTATTACTTTTGTGGGATTTAAAATAAATAAAAATGAGTCCATTGCTCTAGCTGGTTTGGCTCAATGGGTAGAGCGTCGGCCTGCAGACTGAAGGGTCACAGGCTTGATTTTGGTCCAGGGCACATGCCCGGGTTGTAGGCTCAATTCCCAGCAGGGGGCGTGCAGGAGGCAGCCAGTCAATGATTCTCTCTCATCATTGATGTTTCTTTTTTTTTTTTTCTTAATTGGTACATTTATTAAAAATATAGATTAATGGTCCTGTGCTTAAATGTTCTTGTGGATGTGTGCTGGCTTCCATAAAACATAACTAGTCATAAGGAGCTCTTCAGTATACTCCTGACAGAAGTAAAAAGGTCACTAGAAATGACTGACAAGACAGGGCCACTGCAGACATAATTCCCTTATATAATTAATAATTGCTAGAAAATGGAGTTTGACATTATTTACAATTATACCAACATTCATGGAGGCTGAGTATCACAGGCACAAGAAACGTGTTTCCATGGTTACCAAGTAGTTTTCTGTTTTAGCTACGAAGGTCAGTTACCACAACCAAACTTGTTCTTAACAAGTAGAAATTTTATGTCCATTCAAGCAGAGTCTTTTACATCTTTCTGGGCCTATTCATTTGCAGAGTAGAAACTGTAACCAGGTTCTTCATATCATGCATTCACATGTATTGTCCAATCTTTATATGCTGTCCAATTTCTTTAAGATAAAAGGAGTGACTCGCAGCAGGGCTACATAGATGAGGAAGTTCCGTATGGAGATCACATCCTCGCGCATCTTCCGTTTCATCTCTTCGGGGTCCAGCTTCGGCGCGAGGCCCTCGATACGGAACATCGCGGCTCTGCCTCACCGGCTTCCACCAGCCGTGCTTGGCTCCTCTCAGCCGTAGCCTCCATCATTGATGTTTCTATCTCTCTCCCTCTCTCCCTTCCTCCTTGTAAAAATCAATAAAAAAATACTTTTAAAAAATGAATCCATTAAAAAATTATATGTTGCAACAGTTTCAATGAAATGAACAGAAAGTTTGAAGGACTCAGTAAAAGTGCTAAAAGCCATTCTTAGGGCAAGGTCCTGTTGTTAACCTCCAAGACTACATTCCTCCGTCCCTCCTCCCCTTTATCTCCCATCTCCAGCTCCCGACCCCGCACATCACACATAATGCTTCCATAGCACCTATCCTTAGTCTAAGAGCTGGGGATAGACCAAGGAGCCCTTTTCCCACAGAGTTGACTTTCTGGTCGGGGAGCCAGAGCCCCCCAGCTGTTCAGCCAGGACTCTGTGAATTGAAGGTCTGGATTGTGCAACTATAGAATCCAAAACACTTCATTTCTGGTCACCAAATGTGTGGAGATTGTTCCTTATATCAAACAATTCTCTGCCACACCAGCTAAGTGCCCTGCAATTTCACTCAATTCTGATGCAATCTACCGGTAAATAGCATCAGATTCCACAGGTGAAGGGCTCAGTCTCACAAGATTGCCTTCCCCAGTACAGATGCCAGTTGCAAATGCAGGTTATCACTTGTGCTTCTGACCAACTGGCTATAGATCAGAGGTTCCAATGACCCCCTCCTTGAGTTTAATTAATTTGCTAGAATAGCTCACAGAACTCAGGGAAACACTTAGGTTTACCAGTTTATTAAAGGATATGATAAAGGATAAAGATGAACAGCCAGATAAAGAGATACATAGGGCAAGGTGTGGGAGGGTCCTGAGTGCAGGAGCTTCTGTGTCCATGGAGTTGGCTGTGTCATCTTGTGTGGATGAGTTCACCAGCCTGGAAGCTCTGCAAACCCCTGCCATTAGGATTTTACAGAGGCTTCCTTACAAAGCCTTGACCAATTATTAACTCCATTTCCAGCCCTTCTCCCCTCTCTGTAGGATGAAGGGGTGAAGCTGAAAATTCAGTTTCTAATCATGGCTTGGTCACTCTGGTGACCAGCCCATATCCAGGAGCCATCCAGAAGCCCACCAAGAACAGTACTTGCCTCAATAGAACAAAAGATGTGCCTATTGCTCTTATCATTTAGGAATCTAGGAATTTAGGAAGGGTTTTAGGAGCTCTGTTCCAGGGGCCAGAGGAAGAGACCAATACATATTTTCTATTATCTCACAATTAGAGGCCTGGTACATGAAAATTCATGCACTGGATGGGGGTCCCTCAGCCTGGCCTGCCCCCTCTCACAGCCCGGGAGCCCTCAGGGGTGGGAGGCAACCCGGTGATCAGGGGAAGACGACACCCCATCACACCTCTGCTGCTGCCACTGCCAGCAGCGCAAGCCTCCACCAGCCCTGGTTACCTGTGCCTCAGGCCGGCCCTGGGCGGCTGGGCAGCCACCATCTGAGGCTTGCCTGTGCCGGGCCAGCCCTGGGCAGCTGGGGGACCGAGGGGACTGGGGGACTCGGGAGGCAGGCACATGGAGTGGCCGGGCCTGCCCCTAGGCCACATGCCTGCTGCCCCAGTGGGGCTGAGAGGACTGGGCACCACCATCTTGTGGATGTGGGCACCGCCATCTTTGAGGGCATGGCAGTCTGTTAGCATATTCCCTCCTTATTGGCTGTGGGTGCCGCCATCTTTGAGGGTGTGGCAGTCAATTAGCATACTCCCTCCTTATTGATTGTGGGCACCATCATATTTGTGATGGCATGAGGGTCACTTAGCATATTCCCTCTTTATTAGATGGAATGATTTTCAAAAGAAAAACTTTGGTGGAGTGGTGGGGGGGGGAGCCAGATCAGAGTATGTTAAGAGAAGGTTTGAGGAAAAAGATGAGGCAGCAAATGCAGATCACTCTTTTGAACAATCTTGTCTAATAAAGCAGGAATATTCAAATCAACCGTCACACTGTAATTATCAATATGGCCGCACCCACAGTGGAGGCAGGGATCCTGTAACATAAGATGGCTGCGCCCACAGTGGAGGCCGAGTTCCTGTAATGAGCCTTAACGAGCAATCAGCAGAGACCTGAAGCTGCGTGGCACTGGGCTGGGGCGGGGGACCTGAGGCTGCACTCCCCACCTGGTGAGGCTTGACAGGGGACCTCAGGCCGCTCCCCCTGCCCCAGTGCTGGGTCGGGGGACTTCAGACCGCTCCCCCTGCCCCAGGCCAGGGGACCTCAGACCGTGCCCCCACCCCAGCGCCAAGGGACCTGAGGCTGTGCTCCCCGCCCAGCAGGGCTTGACGGGGGACCTGAGGCTGCACCCCCGCCCGGTGGGGTTTGACAGGGGATCTCAAACCACGCCCTCCGCCCAGCGGGGCTTGATGGGGGACCTTAAGGCTTGCCCCACACCCGGTGGGGCTTGACGGAGGATCTCAAACCGTGCCCCCCACCCAGCAGGGCTTGACGGGGGACCTAAAGGCACTCCCCCGACCCCGGTCCAGGCCAAGGGGACCTCAGGCCATGCCCCCCACCCTGGTGCCGGGTCAGGGGACCTCAGACTGTGCCCCCTTCCTGGCAGGGCTTGACGGGGGACCTCAGGCCATGCCACCTGCCCTGGCACCAGGCCAAGGGACCTGAGGCCCCACCCCCTGCCCTGGTGCCGGGCCAGGGAACCTGAGGGTGCACTGGGGGACCTGAGGCTATGCCCCCCCCCACCCAGTGGGGCTTGACAAAGGTGGGGCCAGCTAGGTCTGGATCTCACCCAATGTGGGTGGGGCCGGCTGGGTCTGGGTCTGGGTCTCCCGTGATTTTGATGCACCTCAGGTGGGCAGGGACTTGACTCTGGGTCCCGCGGCACACCCCAGACTCTGACAAGAGGAAGATTTTCATATACATTTTACTAATTTCCTTTCATGTCTGACACTTCTATTATAGAGAAGGGGCAAATAGCAATTTAAAAATATTTCCTCTAATTAATCCCCTTTTAATGTGCACAAATTTCATGCACTGGGCCATTAGTTTAGAAATAAAGGAAAGAGAGAAAGGGGGCAATAGCTAAAGGGAACCATTTTTGTTTTTCTTCAATTGGAGAATAAACAGCATATTTGTGTGCTAATGGAAAAGGTCTGATGGAGAGAGAAAAAATGATGATATAGGAGAGGGGAAAACTGCTGCAGCAAGGTCTTGAGGTTGGTGAGAGGGGAATGGGATCAACTGCAGAAGTGGAACATAGACAGTTAATTATAGTAACAGAACTTCACAGAGACTCAGTATAGTGTCTTCAACCCTAAAGCTTGGATAAGACCTTAGAAGTGATGTATTCCAACTTTATTCTGTACACAGGAATTGCCTCAAGCAGCCTCCCAGAAAATGCTGGTCCAGCCTCTGCTTAAACATCTCCAGTGATGATGAACTGGCTACTTCCCAAAGTTGCCATTTGCATCTTACATCCCCTATAATGGTTAGGTAGCTATTCTTAATTGTACTGCACCAAAATCTGTCTATCTGTCAGTTTCACCCACTGGACACCAGGCTTTGTGCTCCAGGACCACAGATACTCACAGTAATATAAATTGCCAAGCGTTTTTCAGATTTCAAGCACTCTTTTTTGTTTTAGTTCCCAGCTGAGGACATTTTCATTGATTTTTAGAGAGAGGGAGAAAAAAAAAAAAAGATACACCAATGTGCAAGAGACACATCATCTTGGGTTGCCTCCTGTATGCGCCCCAAGCGGGGCCAGGGATTAAACCTGCAACCTAGGAATGTGCCCTGACCAGGAATCGAACCAGCAACCTTTCAGTGCACAGGATGACGCTCCAGCCAACTGAGCCACACCAGCCAGGGCTTCAAGAACTCTTTTATAGATCCCTCTCTCACTGAAGCCTCACAAAAGCACAATGAAGATGGTATTATCTTCTCCACTGCACCAATGAAGAAACTGAGACTCAGGGAGATTAAGTGACTTACCAAAGGGAGCAGGCTTAGTAAATTACAGAACTATGAATTCACCGGACGTTCCTGAGTCTATAACCCACACTTACCTCTCCTCCACTCTGCCTTGGGTTCCTCCCTCTCTCTCACAGGCCAGCCCTTCAGTTTTTAAAGGCAGCTGTTATATCCCCCATGAGTCTTCTCCTCTAGTCAAACATTCCCAATTCTTTCAACCATTTCTCAGCAGATATCCCTTCACTCCTGGTCACTCCTACAGGTGGGCTTCAAAACCTAAGCACAATAGTCCAGGTGTGGCCTGGTCTGTCCCGTTGTACAGAGCAGGCTTCTTGTGCCCTCACCCCCTTTGCTCTGTACACTGTCCTGCCATTCCTGTAGCCTGGAATCAAATTCCTGTCTTGGCAATGAAGCCTCAACAATTTGTTGTCTTACTCATTTTTCACTCATAAATATGAATAATTTGCATGTGTTTTTGGTCTGTTTTGTTCCTTTACAACGTCTTCAGTCCCCAGGAACCCTGAGGAAACAAGTGTTTTATGAACACAGAAGGAGATGCGTGAGGCAGCCCCGACACTTAATTATACTTCAAAAAGTGTGGAGAAGTGTGAAACCTACCCGGCTGGCTAGATTAGGCATGTGGACCCTACGTATCTCTGAAAGGAGTGTGTCTTCCCTCTGGATCTCGATGAATGAAACCGTGTCGACTTATTGCATCCGCATGGATTTCCTGCAGCTCAGAGCATCTGGCAGACAGGAAACAAATCAAGTGACTATTCTTCCCAGCCTGCTCTTGCCAAACTGGCTGCCAGGGGACCCTAAGAACAGAACTTCTGATGATGCCAGCTGGCCAACTGGAATGGGTGATTAAACCGGGGCAGATTTTTCCTTGTGCCTTAAGGGAGCAGCCTAACTTCCAAAAACATGGGAGCCATCCTGTGATAGTTAATACTGAGCTGTAGACTTCAGGGGCCTGGAGCACACTGAAGGCAGTTGACCCTGAACCCTTCACTGTACTGGCAGGGACAGGCAGGCTTATTTTTCTTC